TACAGCATTTTCATCTGATGCCACAGCTGATACAGGAGTTTCATCTGATGCCACAGCTGCTCCAGCATTTTCATTTGATGCTATAGCTGCTACAACATTTTCATCTGATGCTACAGCTGCTACAACATTTTCATCTGATGCTACAGCATTTTCATCTGATGCCACAGCTGCTCCAGCATTTTCATTTGATGCTATAGCTGCTACAGCATTTTCATCTGATGCTACAGCTGCTACAACATTTTCATCTGATGCTACAGCATTTTCATCTGATGCTACAGCCCTTTATTCAGCTACGGGGAGCTCGACTAACTCCCTTGTCTCCACCTCGTCATCATCCGTAGGAAGTGCGAACGATCCTTCTGTATCGGCTTGTAGTCCTGGTGAGGCACATTATTCATTAAATAAGGCATTAATTGTTCATGTCATTCAATTTGTTTCTTATTTACTAAAACTGTGTCATATATGTATGTTTGAAATTATAATAACGTGTTTATTATTTGTTTGTACAATTTAACACGGGTATATTTAATCTAAGTTCCCAATCGAGATTCATTGTACTTAGCAGAGCTTACTTGTTGTCCGTGTGTTTAGTCACATTGTACTACGTTCGTATCCATGGCGTTCGTAATACATCTGTCTTGTTTTTAAACATATTTCCAAATGCTAGCAACTGAACCCAAAACTTTTCGGGATGGATAATGTTTGAGATTCAGTTCGTTAAGAATTCATTCATTACAAATTGTGCCATCAGGAATCCCGTAAATAATTTTAAAACTAAATATAGCAGGAGCCTCTGTTCATGCCGTAAGTATGTTAATTAAAAAAGGTCATTTAAAATCCACACATCTAATTCCCTCGATCTAAAGTTATAAAATTACAAGGAAATTAAAATTAGCGATGTTTTAGAAAATCTATACATACCAACAACTAGAAGTCTTGCATTTTGAGAATATGACTAACTCGAATGCTGTTGCTGATTTTCAATCTAAATTAATTGTTATAGGACCCATGAGAACACACATTAACATTGAGCTCACATTTGATTTGTGTTTCGGAATTTATAGAAATGTACTTACTGTCTTTAAGATGAAATTTACATATGAAGGTTTGCAAATAAAATTTAAATTTTCGATCCAATCTTCCTTCCCCCGTTTTGCAGTGTTATTTCCACATTTGAATAAAATTTCATACCAAGATTAACGGTTCATTGCTTCATACGAACTCTCACTATTTGTAATATATGATCCCATTAATTGACTAACTCGAGCTATCAATTGCTCAAGCTTATCGTATATTTTCAGTTACTTCGGAGGTCATGATGGTCGAATTCATGTCCGAGACCACACTCGAGAAAATTGACATAGAAAATCGTCACGATGAGGTCGAGAGAAATGAGAAGTACATGATCTACAAAAGTCCTGAACATATGAACTTTGGCTCACCGTTGTCTGAGGCATCCGTATGTCTTTGGGTGTATCTGACGTATCTGAGATACACCAACGACTTCATGGTCATCAGTGCACCAAGTGATAGCTCCACGTTTGGGTACTACTTCGTTCTGCTTGGAGGTATGTAACCAAGAAGTAATTTCTTGACCCAATTCTTGAAATGAGACATAATTATGTTTTGAAGTAGAATGAAAAAGTAAATAAATTTGAATTTTTAAATCACTGCACGATAGAGTCAATTTGGGGAGCAGCCATTGAGCACAAATTTAACTGGCTCTCTGGCCAACGTTCAGCCTAAACATGCTTAGCAACACCTAGCCACCGCGCTACGAAGACGTAAACCACGCTAGAAACATCGGAAGTCAAGCCAGTTCCAAACCGCGCCATAGCGCCGTAAGTCTACAGCCACAAATGTAGCCAGTCTCGTTTTTATGGATGTGCATTGTACAACATCTAAATGGCCCTTACTCCACACTAGCCCCGACTCTCCAACTTCCTGCAGCCAATGACTGGCCCCACCATCTCAGTTGCCCCATCTTGCTGCAGCCAATGAGGTTAAGTCCCATTAAGTTTGTTCGGGTGTATGTTGGGTTAAAAGGCGGAGGTAGAGCCAAGCATCCATGTAGACGAGAGTGACTTAAGCAGTGGCTTTGGACCTATGACCCTTGCTTTAATCACTTAACTACATACGTTACTGAATCTTCTGCGTCGTGTATCCTATCACGGAGAGGAACACTAACTGGAATGTGAAGTAGGGACTTACTGCTCTCTAGCACGTAACACGTAAATTTGAATTGAATTTGAACGCTTTGGAAATTTTTGAGCCATCGTGAGTGAGCTTTAGAGCAACTTAATTGGTTGTTCAAGACAATCCTTCGTAATGTTTGGGTACCTCTGCTCACAGGATTCGCTTCACACATTTACATTCAAACTCACGTATGTTCTCGAAACTTTGAACACGAGATAAAGTTACGTCGGTGGACGCAATTCTGTCTCACAATGGGCGCTGACGTGAAGCTATACATTGATGGTAACCTGGCGAAATCGGATTCGACTTGTTTCCATAACGGTACTGAAATTCTGACCTCAGAAAATGGATCTATCGAACTCGGAATGAACTCGTTTGTCGGCACCCCAATTTTCGGCAAGATGGCTGACGTGAGGCTGTATCCAATCTTATTAAATGATACTCATGCTTTTGAAATCCATGAGTTCGCCGACAAATGTAACTTTTTCAAGACCATGATTATTTTGGAAGACGAAACTAGCGATGTTCCAAGCTTTGGTGATCAGGGTCGAAGCCATAATCAGCCTTTCGGGACTCAGGTTTCCAAAATTAGCCTTATAGAACTGCACACGCACGAGTCAAGCCACATCTGGATGCAACTGAAAATTACTCAGGATCAACATACTGCTGTGAAAACATGTGAAAAATTTGGCGGAAATCTTCTAGACCCGACTAAAGTCAGCATGGCATATATTACTTCATACTTTCGCCACTTTTTCGTGGAGAGTTTGGCAAACTACTGGATAATGTCAAACAATGAAAGCTGCTTGTCTCTGAGTGTCACACCATCAAATGTTTGGTTGAATCTGGCAAACTGTCAAATTCTTCTTAGGAGCATCTGTTCTGTACCTCGCGACACTCAATTCAACCTCATTCGAAATGGACTCCGAACTTCGTTTAATCTGGTTGAGAGGAAAAGTACTTGGTATTCTAAAATGGATTATCAGATTGAATACTCCGAAGAATATCGCAAAGCCTATATCATAACAGCACTGCATCAGAATATATTGTTCGAAGTACCGAACATATCTGTCGATGAACTTATTGGGCGCTTGGAATGGAAAGAACCGGATGGAGTTGGGTCATCTGATCGAAGTTCTTTAACTTTCTCAGTTTGTAACTCTAGTCAATTTACTTGCTCCTCCGGTCATTGCATCGAGCTAGAGAAAACATGCAATTTCGAGATCGATTGCGAAGATTTCAGCGACGAAAAACTGTGCAACTACACACAAAAACGGCCGTATTATTATGATCGCGAGTTATCCGGTGATCAGAAACTCCTTGTAGACTTAAGGGTCGACCTTCTGCGGATATTGGGGTTGAACATGGACGACGGAACTGTTCAGATTGAGCTGCAAGCCATCGCCAAATGGAAGGATCATCGCGTGTGTTTCCACAACATTCATAAAGATGTGAAGACGCTGGTGCCACGTTCTGACGCCGCGTTCTACTGGCAGCCCAACATTGTGCTCTCAGGAGTGGTCAACGCGGATACGCTGGCGCTCTCGATGGACAAGGAGCCCCAGGACATGTACATCATCGCTCAAGAGGCAGGCAAGGCCGTGCTGTTCGACGCGCAGGAAGGTTGGGCTAAAATATTTTGTTGAATAATTATGTAAATGATTTTTGAAATTTTCATGGATTTGCAAAAAAAAAATTGCGCCTTTAAATTATTTATTCACTTATAGTTAATTTAGGATCTGAATTTAATTTTTTTTACAGTGCTTGAGCTGAGCGGAGACGATGTCGTAATTGAGCACAAGAAATCGCAGATCGTAACCTTGACCTGCGACTTCGACCTCTACATATACCCTTTTGACACGCAGGTCTTGTCATTGTTATGCACCCTCTCGTACCAACGCACCCCTGCCATAATGCACGTCCATTCAATGCAATTTTAATTTATGTCTAAGACTTGTAGTGCAGGGTTTCTATATGTACCGGAGCTCGTTCACCACTTGAATGTTCCGTACAGTCATTGTGTGCAACCTCGTCCCCGGCACGTAGCAGTACTGCTATACATGTTAGACGATAATGTGTGTCATTCACAACGTATTTTTTATTGAATGCTCCGATAATTAGCTCTTCAAATAAGCATAATGTTTGAATTAATCGTTGGGCCACTCTAACTAGCTGAGTGGTCGTCAGATTAAGCAACTAATATAATTGTAAAATAAAAAGCAAAATAAAAGTACGTACGTAGTCTAAAAATTTATTCTAATGACCTCGTTAGGGTTCGTGTACCACCTAAAAGATCCTCGAGTACCGCTAGTGTTACTTGATATATGCATGATTTTCATTAACATATGATATTTGTCTGTTATATAGGACGTGTTTTACGTCTTTTTCTTAAACTCCTCGGTATCACAGGCATCTCTCAATCAGTCTTCTTGTTGCATATTTTGGTTGCCAACAATTTTTTGAAAACGACTCCTGCCCAACTAGGGGAGCAAATAAATTTCTTCTATTTCTTGCAGAAAAAGGTTTTGTCTTTATAAGACGTGAGTGAATTACTCGAAAGGCCATAAATCAGGCAACAATAAAGTCGAAATGGCGCTAAGATATTGAGCGTTCTATTGACACCGTCAATGCATTGTGCTGCCATATTGCGCTAAAATATTGAGAGTCTATGGGCCGGTCAGGTAGCGATGTATGTTGCAAGTTGAGGTGCTGCATCGTCTCCGTTTTAATATTTGCAGACATGCAACATGACCATGATGCTGGTGGGGAAAGTCAAACCAGACGCTCAGTGGAACACCGAGTGGATGGATCACGATGGTAACTCCGGCGGATCACTTCAACTCTTCACCTTCATCCACTTTAGGAGGATGTTGCTGCAGGAGGAAGGGAACCCGGTCAGTAATGCTCGAATGATGGATATAAACAGTCATATATGAAAGAAGAAAAATTACACTCGCTGACAATGATACTAAATAGAAGTCGGTTGTGCTTTAGAGATTTTCTTAATTTTGTTTTTTACTTTTAATTTTTTCTAATGTTCAGCAGATATTTAAGCAGGACATCATTCAAGTGAGAATTGACAATTACTATTACTCCAGACGTTTCCAATCAGTTGCAGGTTTGTCGGACTTGATCACGTGGCAATTTTCGCTTTGATCAGATGTTATTTCTGCTGCTTGTTTCGAGCAAATGTTTTTCTAGCTGTTTGTACCAAGCAGCTGTTATTCCAGTTGCTTGTTCCGAACAGACGTTATTCCAGTTGCTTCTTCCGAGCAGCTGTTACTCCAGTTGCATCTTCCGAGCAGCTGTTATTCCTGTTGCATCTTCCGAGCATCTGTTATTCCAGTTGCATCTTCCGAGCATCTGTTATTCCAGTTGCATCTTCCGAGCAGATGTTATTCCAGTTGCATCTTCCGAGCAGATGTTGTTCCAGTTGCATCTTCCGAGCAGATGTTATTCCAGTTGCATCTTCCGAACATCTGTTATTCCAGTTGCATCTTCCGAGCAGATGTTGTTCCAGCTTCGCGTTGCACGTCGCTTCGGCAGCCACGTCCTCGTGACGTTCCTGCCGTGCTTCGTCTTGCAGCTCATCGGCCTCAGCGTCTTCGCCGTTCCTCTGGACGACCTCCCCTCTCGTCTCACCGTCAGCATCTCATGCCTCATCGTCATGGCGGCGCTCTTCACTCAGGTATTTCGCTTTATCTGATGATCAGAGCGACATAGGTTAACTCCGACGTGAACAATCGTGTATCATGCCTCATCGTCATGGCGGCGCTCTTCACTCAGGTATTTCGCTTTATCTGATGATCAGAGCGACATAGGTTAACTCCGACGTGAACAATCGTGTATCATGCCTCTTCGTCATGGCGGCGCTCTTCACTCATGTATTTCACTTTATCAGATGATCAAAGCAACGTAGTTTAACTCCGTCATGGACAATCGTGTATCATACCTCTTCGTCATGGCGGCGCTTTCCAATCAGCAGATATTATATAAAAGTTATCTTGATTGTTTGATATCAATTACGTCGTTTAACAGTAATTGTCCCAGTCTTCACTTACGTATCTTGCTGTTACATTTTGTATTAATTGATTGCAACCCGTTTCTTTCATTTGCATATGGTATGAATATCATTGCCGCCGTAACTTGCCAGCTTATGTAAAAACCGTCAAGGATTTATTATTGAAATAAAATGTTTTTACTTCTAGGTGTGTGTAGCTGGCCGGACTTTCATACATGTCAGATCGATTCAGTCATCCAAGCAATGTTAATGTTTGGGCCAATAATACCGATGAAAGACGAAAAAAAGTTACGCCCTTAATATATCTGCAGTATCAATTAGGGCTAAATCAAATATTTAATTTTTTAACGTTTATTCAAATATTTATTATTAATTACTTATTGCTATCAGTTTGTTTAGTCATTTCCGCAGTACCGACGAGCAGTGCCATCATGGAGCTTCAGGTACACTTGTCCACGTGTGTGGCAGTAGCACTGTGAGGCCAGCATCCGGTACGGCAATCTTGGCCTCGAATATTTCACTGCCCAGCTGCAGGCTCACCTGAGCTAGCCGGTAAATGGTACAGGCAGGCACCAACGCACCTTAGAACACCGGCTGTGGGGAGGCATACCGAAACAGAGAGCAATGGCGCCGGTGCCACTCTCTTCTGCTGTAGTCGAGACACAGCCAAGCAGAAGGTCGAATCAGCACCAACACGCGGCGCCAATTGCTGCGGCAATGCGATTGCAATAAGCGCGCGGCCGCATAGGTATAATGCAGGCAGCATATTCTCGATAGGCAGCACAGATATCATACACCTACTTTGTTTGTACTATGACCGGCCAATCACTCTGCCCACAGATCAGCTCGACGCTGCCAGTGTCTGCCGACCCCAAGATAATCGACGTATGGATGTTCGTCCACGTGCTGATGCTCGCGGTTGTCTTCTTCTCGCTGCTCGCGCTTGACAAAATCCACGCGGTCGAACTGCGGGACACGGACGAGCGAAGCGAAGTTATGTTCGAGGTGAAAAATAATAACAAATTCTATAAAAATCCTGATGGAATAAATAAATGATCACACGTCGATATATTAAGAAGAGAAAAGACTAGAATAGAATAAAGTAGAAGTGTCGGCACTGAAGAAATAGGCCCATGGCCTGTTGCCGATTTTTGTAATTTTCGTGATTTAATTCACCAGGGATCCGGCCTTTGGAACCCGATCTTTCCATAACTGACGATTGATTGAGATAGCTGCTGGATTTATTGCCGCTAGGCATTTTAAGACTGAACATATGCTCCTGCATAGCTTCCTCTAGTCTGTTCTTGAGGGCGGACTTCGTGCATCGTCATGAATTGGATGTAGTGATCTAAAAACTGCGTCATAGCAGGCGAATTGTTCTTTTATTCGTCGATATAGACTATAAGAGCACTCTATGGCCAGCCAGAATATCGTATTTAGACGAAATTCGCTGTATTTTCTCCTGCACTTTTTTTTATTTTCATTGACTTACTGAGTGTAATACTCAATCAATAGTAGTTACGTAGATAACATAATCACGAATTTCCATTTACCTTGTTACAGAAAATAAGAGCGTGGCCCATGAATCTTCCAGGAAAAAAGACCACCAGACGCCCGCTTTCGCGCCGGGTGAACAGCTTCTTCGCGCTGCTCTTCGTCGCCCTCTACCTCGCCTTCGTCGCTGTCTTCATTGTTTACATATACGTGGCCAGGAATAATCAGCTTAACGAAAATTAAAATCCAGTTATTTATGCACGCGAGGAGTCTTCTTTTCTCAGTGCGCGATTGGCTTTTAGAAATCAATTTTGTTCCGCTTGCTGTAAGATGGCCTTTTTCTTGTGCATTGCAGACATGAGTTGGACATTTGGATGAAGTGTTATTTTCTCTTCACATGATTGTTGAGAGTGTTAGTTATTCCACGCATGATTGGATAAATTAAGTCTTACTCACTGTGTAGGAAGATTTTTTCTGACAAATATACTGTACGTCACCCGGCATGTAATATTTACGATCAGCATTTAGATGCACAACTGGGAACACAGTAGACGTATGCTACTCCATAGGAACAATTTTTTAGCCCTTTCCAGTTGGGAACTTAGAACCCGTTGAACAATAGACTTCTCATAATTTCACACAAATTTACTGAATTACTTCGAAAATCTTGTTTAGAATTTAAATAAGACGGATATCAGAATCGGAGGTTCTTCAGTCAACGAAACTCCTATCAATCAAGCGGATATTTGAATAAGTTTTTGCATTTACGGTGAAAAGTTCTTTATCATTCACTTTATTTCCAATGGAAATCTATAAAATGATTCTTATGAAACAGACACTGAAATAAATTCTTTGATGTTGAGGGAATAAGAAGATACAAATATCTTTTGATCATTTGATTCCACCATCCATACAACTCTGTTAAAATTGAACCTTATTATATTTTCTGGTAAGAGGAATAATGATATTAGCTTGAAACAAACCATAATAAAGCTTCGTTTTGTTAAAGTGTTACTCATGTTTACATCCTCGTTAATTCTTTTGAAACATTAAAACGCCCAAAGTCGATTTGTTCAACTCTGTATTTTTATATCCGTATGTAATAGAACTGGCCTGCTATGTATGTAGTTATTATACTTTTGAAAACACAAAATATTAATACCAATATTGGAGTTAAGCTTCATTAAAGAATGACGTTTTGATAGCTTAACAGCATGACTGAAGCCTAATTCATGTTTTTGTGGTGTTTTTTTAGCATCTATTTTTTTAATCATCCAACTAAAAATTACTAAATAAATCAAGAAAAAGTACCAAATGTAGTTACCTTGAGCTTTATTTATTTGCACTAGTTTCAAGCGAGCCGGTGCTAAAATATCGGCGCTAATTTCCTTGTCTCACCTGCACCGCCTTGCACGTAAGCTGCGTTTGTCTGTCAACAATTTGGTATAAATGTTACCTAGATTGCCAGGTTAAAACAACTCACTTATAAGCCCCGTAGTCATGAATTATTATACTTATGTAATGTAAAACGAATTAGATCGCAATAATCATCAGACACATAAATCTAAACGGACACCTGAAACGACATTTTTGACGGACATTTTTACATCAACGATTTTGTATAAATGTTACCGCCATATCCTGGAAGAACCGCTCACTTATGAGCCACGCAGTGATGAATTATCACAGCAAAATGTAGCATGAATTAGATCGCATTATCGATCACATATATATCTAAACAGACATATAGAGCCATAGATGGCGACAACATCAGAAAAAAGGGACATTGAAAGATGACGATAAAATTGCATGTGAAATTAGACTCGTAGACATTTGCTGAACCAAAGCGAATCCCAGCACGACTGTCTTGATCAATTTTATGTAAAACATCTGAAACAAAGATTTAGTTCATCATATGTTTTGCGGTGCATGTCCTCTGCAGCGAAGGATTCGAAATAAATTCGTCTGAGACAAAGAGGCGATTTTCTTTGTCCTCGAATATACTTAGGGAATTATGGACAAACGAAGCTACATTGATTGGAGCTCCACAAGTCTTGGTCGACAGAGCCAAACTGCAGTTCTTTGTGGAACTTTGTACTTTTTTTTCCGTATTACTTTGGAATTATTAAGTTGAGCGTCAACACTAGAATAAAATCTATGGTACCCCGCCTCGCTTGGTCATTATCCGTCAAGCAACGTTTTCTGGTTGTCGAGAACACTCCCGCAGCGAGTACGATTTTTGAAACATTCTACCGATAATCGTGAAAACGGGAATTAATTTATTTAAAATATGTATCTTTACTCCGTGCGTAGGTAACAGTCTTAAAATTATTTCCACAGCAGAGTTCATAATTGAAAACCAATTGCTCGGGATTTAAAAATAATTAAATAAATTCCCAAATAGATTTTGAGTCAAAAATCATACTGTATTCGATTACAGTGATTTTCGCTGAAATAAATTTCACCTACAGTTGGTAGCTCCTAGATGCAAAAAGGTTACTGTTGATTGTTGATTTGATTTGGCGAGCACTTCTTAGTGTAGATAGAATCTACATCTCTAATAATAAGCAACTTGTTCAATATTTTGAGTACTTCCTAAACTCTGTGATAAATACCCCCCATCTAGTTGTAGATGGCTTCCAACACTCTCTGGTATAATATTAATTTTGTCGCAAATATATCATATTTATTTCAACAAGCAGCTGTCTATTTGTTTATCTACATCCACGTTGCTAAATCGTTTAAAATAATTTATCCATATAATTGATGCTGGAATATAACTCAAAAAGTTATTTCAAACTGTTGAGACTAATTCGTTGTTCAGGATCTCAATTTGTCTCAAATAATAGATACAGAAAGATGCACCTGAAAAATATGTTTCTGATGATGCAAATGCTTGTGTTCCTACCGTGTGATGTACAAGCAGTTCAGTCAACCATCAAACCATCGACAACAACGTCAATTTCAACTCAATATCTGACAACAGCGGCTATCCCTGAGACTGCACGCGGTGCTGCCAATGCTACCACGTTTAAGCCTGCAGGCGCAACAGCAACTGTTGCTCCTGATGATGAAGCTTTTTCATCTGATGCTACAGCCCTAAATCCTACGGCGGAGATCACGACCATCTCTTCAGTCTCATCTTCCTTGTTGTCTGAGGGAACTACGATCACTCAATCTCCGTCGGCTTATGTTTCTGGTAGTCAATTTTTTTTAATAATAATGAATGAGAATGCGATAGTAGATGCTTTTACACCTATTTTCATCCAGTAAAATATTAATTCAACGTCAGATGCTTTTGGCCAAGAATCTCATCTTTTTAATATCTTTAAATTAGTAGTTTTTTATTGAAAAGCTTAAATTTTTATGAGATCCTGCCACAATTGAACACGGACATTATTTAAATTCTGAATAGTTTGCTAAAGTTTTTAATTCAAATTAATTTAATGTATTTCATCTATCGGGTTTGAATAACAAACAATTTATGATTTATACAAAGTCTACGCTCTTTATGAACAACATTTTATTTACTTTTTGAAGCCTATTGTTTGCCCAGTTCTGAGAACAGTTGCTCCACATTCGTATGTATGCTTCCTTTATATAACAAATGTATTATTTTATATGTTGTTATACATAATTATCGAAAATTTAATTCAGTCAATCGAAAATTTAATTGAATCAATCTGGGCATTTTTATTCTTCAGTTGCTCACGAGGTCATAATGGTCGAATTCATGTCTGAGACGTTGCTCGCGAAAACGGACATAGAAAATCGTCACGATGAGGTCGAAAAAATTGAGAGCTACATGATCTACAAAAGTCCTGAACATATGAACTTTGGCGCACCGTTGTCTGAGGCATCCGTGTGTCTTTGGGTGTATCTGACGTATCTGAGATACACCAACGACTTCATGGTCATCAGTGCACCAAGTGACAGCTCCACGTTTGGGTACTACTTTGTTCTGCTTGGAGGTATGTAATTATGATAGTAAGTTCGTTGTAAAGTTTCTAATCAATTAATATACTTATCATCAAAATTATTCTTTCTGCGTGAAAATAGTATTGAATTGATTATCTAAAAGAGCCCTTGCATAAGCCAAAAAATGTTTGCAAATAAGGTTACGATGTGGCCCAATTTAATTTCTTTAAATGGTTGTGAGTATTTCAGGCAATTTACATGGGCAAATCACGAAGATATCTCACATATATGGATAATTCTTCTCATAGGATTCGCTTCTCAGATGTACATCCAAACTCACATTTGTTCCCGGAACTTCGAGTACGAGATCAAATTACGACGCTGGACGCATTTCTGTGTCACAATGGGCGCTGACGTAAAGCTATACATCGATGGTAATCTTGCGAAATCGGATTCGACTTGTTTCCATAACGGCACTGAAATTCTGACCTCAGAAAATGGTTCAATTGAACTCGGAATGAACTCTTTCGTCGGCAATGCAATTTTCGGCAAAATGGCAGATTTAAGGCTGTTTCCAATCGTCTTGAATGACACGCAAGCTCTTGCTGTTTATGAGTTTAGTGATCAATTTAACTCACACAAAGAAATGATTGTAATGAGAAACAAAACTAGTGATGATCCAAATAGCGATGGTCAAAGCCGGGACGAAAATAAACCATACGTAACTCCAGTCTCGCAAATGAGAATTGAAGAACTGCTTACCCCTCAATCAAGCCACATCTGGATGCAGTTGACTGTAACACAGGATCAACAAACGGCTGCCAAGACCTGCGCTAAATTCGGAGGAAATCTTCTTGACCCAACTAACATCAGCATTGCGCACATCACCTCGTACACCCGCATTTTTTTTACGGAGAACCTGGCGAATTACTGGATAATGTCCTTCAATCAGAGTTGTCTTTCAATGAGTGTCACGTCATCCAGTGTTCGCTTCAATGTTATAGGTTGTCACATACATCTAAGGAGTATATGTTCTGTTCCTCGTGACACTAACTTTTATCTCATTCGAAATGACGAACGAACGTCGTTCAACCTGGTTGAGAGAAAAAGTGCATGGTACTCTAAAATAAATTATCAGATTGAGTACTCTGATGAGTATCGCAAGGTCTATTTCATGACAGCACTTAATCAGAAAATATTGTTCGAAGTACCAAACTTGTCAATTGATAAATTAATGGGACGATTAGAATGGGAGGAACCGCTTGGGCAAAGAACTTTTGAGCGAAATATTTTTACATTCTCAGTTTGTAACTCAAGTCAATTCACTTGTTCCTCTGGCAACTGCATCGAGCTCGAAAAAACATGCAATTTCGAGATCGATTGCGACGATTTCAGCGACGAAAAATTGTGCAACTACACGCAGAAGCGGCCGTATTATTATGACCGCCAGTTGGCCGGTATTCCAAAACTCACTGTGAGCTTGGAGGTGAACCTCATGAGGATAATTTGCTTGAAAATGGATGACGGAACTGTTCAGATTGAGCTGCAAGCCATCGCCAAATGGAAGGATACATTCATAAAGATGTGAAGACGCTGGTGCCACGTTCTGACGCCGCGTTCTACTGGCAGCCCAACATTGTGCTCTCAGGAGTGGTCAACACGGATGCGCTGGCGCTCTCGATGGACAAGGAGCCCCAGGACATGTACATCATCGCTCAAGAGGCCGGCAAGGCCGTACTGTTCGACGCGCAGGAAGGTGAACTGTTTGTTTTGTTCCATCTTCATTCACGTCTCCAAATCTGTTTGTATCGCACAACGTATATCATTCCAGCAACGTATTTGTTGAAATTATGTGCGCAGAATAGAAAAATTCATTCTACCATAAAAAATATCTACATGAAAAAAAATTTGAACATTTTAAAATTATTTTGGTTTTGGTGCATTCCGGAAGCCTGCTTTGCCCTTTTTCATCCTTCTGTTTATATATTTCATTTTCGGAGATAAGCATGCCACAGGGCGTAGTAACCAGCGAAGTTAACTGCACAAAGCGATCGCGCCGTTTTTCCACAGCCATCGTTCATGCCTGCTCAAGTTTAAAATGGTCGGTCAAAGAAAACGCGGAACGGGCCTTAATCAACCTGATTGTCTGCATGATGGTGGGGAGTCGGGGCAGAGTGAGTATGTTAGCCCAGAAGTGGATAGGCCGGAATTGATGAGGCTGGATGTAGTACCGACTGGATACGAGCGATTATGCTTGAGAATGGGATACTGCTTTTCGGGCTGCTATCCTTAATTAAGCTGTGCATTGCTGGTTTGGCTTACGGTTTTCCAGCGCCGTCTGCTGCTTCTGGCTCTGAGGCTGTGTGTAGTTATTGTATGCTGAGGCAGGGCCTCGGTTACGGGGGCGATTTAAGACTTAAATTTAAGACCATGCACCAAAGTTGGAATCGATCACTCTTACCGCAATTTAAAATGTTGTTCATAAATAAATTAAGACTATGGGCGTTGTTGTTCAAATTAATAATGTTTTTTTCGCAGTGCTTGAGCTAAGTGGGGAGGATATCGTGATTGAGCATGAGAAGTCAAAGATCGTGACCTTGACCTGCGACTTCGACCTCTACATATACCCTTTTGACGTGCAGGTCTGTCATTTTATTCACTCTACTGCACATCATGCGTCCTTGGTTAATGACATTCTCATGATAAGGACATAAGGTCCGCAATGAGAATGTTTCAAGTGAAACAGCAGCTCGTTGTCAACTCATTGCACTTCGAAATGCTTGGTTGGAAGTCTTTATTGATGTTCAGGTTAGCTTGCCATATAAGAGCCATCATATCTTAACCCTCAATTTGTCACTTGAGTTTAGTTGCTACATCATTTCCGTTTGATCATTGCAGACGTGCAACCTGACCATGGCGCTGGTAGGAAAAATAAAATCCGATGCTCAATGGCAATCTGAGTGGAAGGAGAACAATGATTACTCTGGCAGTTCTCTCCACCTCTACACCTTCATCCACTTCAAGAGAATGATGCTGCAGGAGGAGGGAAACCCGGTAAGTGTTGTTGTTATGTTTAAAGGCTTACAAAAAAGCTTGCAAGCCTTTACACTGATCCTGAAGTACTATGAACATTTATTTGACGGAAAACTGTTAATCTAATATCTTGTCGATGATATCTCCCTTACCGGATGAGGTACAGTTGAATCCGCATGTTACAGCCAGGCCTTGATTTTATAGTCTTCATCTGATCTCAGCTGCTTCAACCGAGCAAATTGCATTCCACTGCTTGTTTCGAGCATCTGTTATTCCAGTTGCATCTTTCGTGTTGATGTTGTTCCAGTTGCATATTCCGAGCAGATGTTCCAGTTGCATCTTATGAGCATCTGTTCCAGTTGTATCTTCCAGGCACACGTTATTCCGGTTACATCTTGCGAGCATCTGTTGTTCGAGTTGCACCTTCCTAGCAAATGTTATTCCATTTGCATCTTCCGAGCAGATGTTATTCCAGTTGCAGCTTTCAAGCATCTGTTGTTCCAGTTACATCTTGCGAGCATCTGTTATTCCAGTTGCATCTCCCGAACATCTATTATTCCAGTTGCATCTTCCGAGCATCTGTTATTCCAGTTACATCTTGCGAGCATCTGTTATTCCAGTTGCATCTTCCGAGCAGATGTTGTTCCAGTCGCATCTTCCGAGCAGATGTTATTCCAGTTGCATCTTCCAAACAGCTGTTATTCCAGTTGCATCATCCGAGCATCTGTTATTCCAGTTGCATCTTCCGACCATCTGTTATTCCAGTTGCATCTTCCGAGCAGATGTTGTTCCAGTTTCCGAGCAGATGTTGTTCCAGCTTCGCGTTGCACGTCGCTTCGGCAGCCACGTCCTCGTGACGTTCCTGCCGTGCTTCGTCTTGCAGCTCATCGGACTCAGCGTCTTCGCCGTTCCTCTGGACGACCTCCCCTCTCGTCTCACCGTCAGCATCTCATGCCTCATCGTCATGGCGGCGCTCTTCACTCAGGTATTGATAAATAGTTACAATACGTTGTGAACATGCATTTATCACGTCTCATCGCTTTGGCGGTGCTTGAACTTCACTCAGACGTAGATCAATAGATTTGTTCTTTTACGGGTTGTTCTGAACAGAAATAATCTATTGATTTGTTCTTTTTTTGTTCATATATTTCTTCTATCGAGTCCTATCCTTATGGCAGCGCTTCAACTCAGGTAGAACAAGATCTAGATGTTTTAATCGTTTTGTTGGGCACGAGCAAACACATTAATCGCATCCAGTTTCTCTGACGGCACTCGTCATACATTTTTTTACAGCGAAAATTGTGGCTTTCAAGGCGAATAATTGACATTCAATCACGATATAAGTAAACATGTTTTTCTCAGTTCTATATTCACATGCAAAATATAACATGGCCGTTGCCACTTGCCTTTTAATTTTGTAGTAATTAAGTTTTTTTCTTTTTTTACCTATTATAATATAGCTTATTTATTATATAGCTTCTCTGATACATATCTGTATAGCTTCTTTGAAAAGTGAAGTGTGATTTGTGATATCTCGTTACCAGAACGTTGACAGAAATCCTCAACCAAGAAATTCTACGATTTAAGCTAATCGTGCCAACGACCGGCGAAATTTGAATTTGTGAATATGATAGTTATTTTTAAACTCTCCTATAAGTATTTATTTTGCATGTAAAATATATTTAAGCTTCAATAGCGTAAAACAATGCAATTTAAACTTCAATGAGAATAAATCACGAACGAAATCTTCTTTTTATTCAATGATTTTTTATTCATACAAAATTGCTCGTATCCATTCCTCGTACAATGTTGATGCTGCAGTCGTCATACCGAAACGATTATTCCTCAAATTATTTTGTGTGCGGTTTTCGGTTTCTGCTATGAAATATTCACAGAAATACTTTTCTTTGCTCAATATCATTTCGTCGACAGATCAGCTCGACGCTGCCAGTGTCTGCCGACCCCAAGATGATCGATGTGTGGATGTTCGTCCACGTGCTGATGCTCGCGGTTGTCTTCTTCTCGCTGCTCGCGCTGGACAAAATCCACGTAGGAACACTGCAGGATAATGAGGAGCGACTCCAAGTTTGGTTCGAGGTAAAATAAAGATAAAAAAGGTCACATTAACAAACGTAAATTATGCATTAAAATGTAAATATGCCTGTATAAAAACAATGTATGCAAGTCATTTTTAAAATGAAGCGTCAAGATATGAAAAATACGAATTTCAACAGGTGATGCATTTCGTTCATATTGTCTAGAAGATATTTATATGCTCAATGTAAATGTCGTATGCTGACCTTGAGCAGAGAATGCAATTTCTAGGGGAAGTACGAGGAGTTTTCGGCTAATTTTTTGGATTACTTTGCTGGGTTAGTTAATGTGCGAACGGACTTTTGAATAGATATTCAAATTATATGAATCTAATGTCTGATAGGTGATATGATGTAATTAATAAGTACAAGTGTGCACACAACGTCATATTTTTGCATATATTTTTAACAGAAAAAGAAGGTGTGGCCCATGAACCTACCAAAGGAGCCAGGCAAACGCTCGCTGTCCCGCCGAGTGAACCTCTGCACTGCGCTGCTCTTCGTCGCCCTCTACCTCGCATTCGTCGCTGTCTTCATTGTTTACATTTACGTCTCCAGGAATAATCAGCTTTACGGAAATTAATTTTCGTGCATTGCTGCGTGCGAGTAGTCCACTTTTATTGGCAAGTAAAGAAGTTCTGAATGTAAGAATAAACTTGAATCCAGCGCGATGAATTTGCCTTGGTCGAAAATCAAATTATCTTACTAGTTTTGACTCTTTCCTATACTTCGCATGATCGTGCCATGCATTCATTTAACTGCGCCATGAGGACACAAAAGTTTACAGGGTTTGACTACCGACAACAATTTTATAATATTTTCTTAAATTTTTAGAAAAGTTAGTGTTTCACCATGCACGTTTATTGTCTCCGTATAAGATACTACTACGATACTTGGGAAATATTAATATAATTTTGACAGGCCACAGGGTGGCCAAGTGGTTAACGTTCAGAGTGCCTCGATTGGAGCAGAGAGGTGCGGGTTTGATCCCAGCTCTGTGCGCCAGTTTCTGGTCAGAAGCGAGGCCGGGCGGTTAAGCACAGCAGAATTGAAGCAGTGAGTTGCGCGTTCGAGACCGCAATAAGCTGTGGATGTCCTGCAATGTTAAGAATCGGCGATAGGCCTACGGCCTAATAAACGCAGAAACCGCTATATTATATTATATTATTACATGTCAAAATTGACTAAGATTGGTAAGACTCTATCTCTAAATAATCCTAGGAAGACTTCATGTAAAATCTAGTTTATCTCAGGGAAATAGCAGTAAATATCATTCAGACTTGGGTTCCAGTTTAGTCTTCTGGATATCAACGTAGTGTGAGAACTAACGTCCGACCATTTTATTTCTGTCAAAAACGGTTTTCATAAACGGTTATATAAAATAATTGCAGTGACAACTGAAAAATAGACAAGTGAAGCAAATAATTAATTCGTGTATAAAATCATTCAAGTATAGGTTTGGCAGTAAAAATAAGTACAAATTTATCATACTCGCTCTGGGTACGAATAATGTTTAGCAAACTCTGGAAAGCACGGAAAGAAGAGTGGCAGCCATGAACGTTGTGTGAAATTGACCTTTCCGCACAATTTGTTAAATTTTAGGCCCGGTACCCATTTCACTTCGAGAGCTTGATACGTCGCGTCGCTAGCATTCCTTAATTCAAAGTTACTTCGTAGCTCGGGATTTGGCACCGAAAGAACTTCTTGCATCGGTGGGCTACTGTAGAAGCCGAGAGATTTTACGGAACCATAACTGTCGTTTGAAATCCTTTAGCGCCCACCCTCCGCTTGATGCGCGATTTACTTTGCCTTCGAGTGGAAGTCGTTCCTGAGTAAACCACCATTTTGGGCAAACATGTGATAGCCGAGCTACAGTGGCAGGGTTAAGTTGTAATGTAAGTAATAATGATTACGCGTCATATGAGAACACGTGGCTCCGCCACGCGTCATATGAGCTTTTTACACATATGACGATTTATGACGTACCTTGGACTAATTTATTTGAGTGATGGATTGTGACAAGTTGTGGTAACGAATGTAAAAATGGCTAACAATCAGCAGCTAAATATAAAAATCAAAATCTGTCATTGCTCCGCTATTAAATTTCACAAATAAACTACGATATCAACGGGAATGTTATAAAAATGTTCTGCGTACTTATTGATCAGTTATGATTGCAAACAACAATCAATATTTTTCTTATTATCCAGATTCCGATCCATGCAGTTTTCTCTGTTGTGAAGTGAATTCGCTAACAAAACGAACTCAGACAAGACAATTTTTGTTAGAAATCGCCTCAACTTCATATTTCGCGCCTAAAGTGACTCGATGATTATTGCGTTTGATTGTGGTCTGAAGTGACAAAAATTCCTTAAAGAAATACCTTCAGAAAATACCGACAGAAATTCCAACTACGGACCAAATCAAACGTATACTTTCACAAATGAAAAGGAATTTGGTATGAACTGAACAAAACGCAAAAAAAATTTAAATTCGGTGAGCGGATTTACGACACTGCTATGCTATGGACGCATCGACAATTACTTTTTAAAATTAATTTTTTTCCACTATGCGTTAACAAAACTACCACTTTTTGTTTGCAGAAAGTAGAAAAAACAATATTTTTTAAATTAACTTTATTTGTATCTCTCCAACAACTAATGAATATGCGCCTGCTGCGATTTTTGCAGAATTTAATACTCTACAATTTAGTTCCATAAAGGTTTTTAGAAAACACCGTTCTACTAGTATACTAAAAGGTTAGGTCGTTTATTTATGTCATCAGTCGGAATAATCGGAATTGTACTTGGATCTGGCGTTGTAAATGATGGTATCAACTTTCTGGCAACGTCTTAATACCCTAAGTCCCTAACTCATAAACGGGAATATATATTCATTTCCGACTGTTTTCATCTTTACATAACAATCAATTGCAATTTGGTTCCATTGAGGATTTTGTAACTAAAACAATAATATTTATTTGGTTTCTAGAACCCAGACGTTCAGCACAGTTTAAAAAATTCTAATTATAAATTTTCATTGTTAATCCGAGAAAATGATGTGCAGGGCCGGGAAGCAGCAGCCACCAAGAGTTTTTTTTTCGAGGATTTTCGTACTACATGAACCGTGAGCAGGAGAGTATGTTGGATGTCATGAAAAACTGCGTAACTTAGTTTGCTCATCATTAGTGGCCCATCTTGTCGTCGGTTCTAGAATAATGAACTTTTTCTTAGATTGAATGTACCCTATATAGAGTCTAGAAAGACACAAAGCTGGCAGTTGCTGCTTGAAAGGCCATTTTTTCAAAATTGTGGACCTTTATTGACAGATCTTACCCATTTATAGGAAACTTATACATGGGATTCATCTTAAGTACTTATATAGTTTATAAGCGGGAAATAATTCTGCAAAAAAAATTTGGTTGCTGCAACTAAGATATTGACTTGGGAGAAAGCTACTTCTGATACATGCGACATAAGTTATACCTTACCTTTGCTTTTCGTTCAACTGTCCAATTTAATTTATTGAAGATGCGTTTATCAGAATGCACATTTCGATTGCCGTAATAAATTACTGAAGGGTGTCCATTAACAATCATCCGTGCAAAACATTTTTTTTCACTATGAGACAATGTGATAACTTGCTCATGACAGAGACTAAATTTTCATTGTTCTTCGACGTGAATAAATGTGTAAGGCACAAACGAATCAATCTTGCTAAGAACCCCACAAGCTGTCGCATTTGATGGTTGTCGGAGCCAAACAATAGACTTTTCTAGTATTTTACCCACCCTACATCTATCATCTATGGTCAAACAATGCACGGCACAACAGTTATGGAGCCTATAGTGACCACCGCTGCACGCCGCCACTGTCGGCCATGCAGCGCAGCATCGCAGGCAGGAACGGTTGGGCGGCGAAGACACAGGGCAAACAATTGTTAATCTTGCCGATAAGATCAGTGGACTGTAAAATTATCTTGCAATGAAAAATTTTGCGTTAAGTAACTTGAAACATTGAGATTGAATTTAAAAAAGATTCAAGATATTGATATTGCTTCAGAATATGAATAGTTCCCTATGAGTTGGTCATAGGTCACTGTGCGAGAATAAATTTTCGAATAACTTCGTACAGGAATTAAAAAAATTTACCAAAGCGAGGGCACGATCCTGAGTTTAATGGATGCCTACTGCAATACTGCAACGAATTGACCATCATTTATTCTGAGTAGAAAAGAATTTTCTTTTGACTTGAAGCATTTAATGCATTAATATGGTTATTTCGGAACATTTTACTATTGTGGAATAATTCTTTAAATTTTCTGGCAGGTTAAGGAACAGTCTTAAAAATATTTATAAATTACTGAGCAGCACCTGAACACCTTACGCTTCAGGTGCCTGGTTGCCGTCAAGCAGCCTCTATATTTTCTATAATCAAAAGATATTCAAAATAGCAACAAAAATTTATGACCGACCATTATCATGCAATTACATGATTGCCACTCATAATCATAATCTTATTTGTAATTCATCAAGACAGATACGTTCTTAGAAGTTCCCGGTTTTTTGAACGTATCTGGAAACAACTGCTGCACCGCGATGTTCACTCTCCTAGCGCTGCAACTGTTCATGTGTTGCGGCTTTCTGTGGGATGTTCAAGCGGCTCTGTCAACTGCTGCACAAATTGCAGCTGATGCTACAGTAACCAATGCAGCTACGGGGACCGATGATAATTCTTCAATATCTTCTACGTTGTCTGTTGAAGAAAGTACGTACGCTCCCGACAAGTCATCCTTAGTTCCTGGTAAAAGCTGTGAATTATAACTGACGAGTCTATGATGATTTCGCATCTGGTTAATTTCATTGAAACTTGAAAGAACTGGATCAATTATAGTATTCTTTTGAATATATTATGCTCTCAAGTCTCTATACTTAAATCCGGAATGCATTTTTTTTCAATATTTGACGTACTTAATAAATTTGGTGAATTATTATTATTATTCTTGTAATCATAATTATTCTTAGCATGAAAATCATACTTAACAGCATTTTATATACTCTTTTTGATGCAGATCTGAATAAAGCCGACGATTTATGTTTAAATCGGTGCTGAATCACTAGTATTTTTATTTCCAGATACTCTGGAGGTAATGTCGGTCGAATTCTTTTCCGAGTCCCAACTCAACAAAGTAGCTATAGAAAATCGCCATGATGAGGTGGAGAAAATGGAACAGTTCATGATTTACAAAAGCTCGGAAACACTAAACTTTGGCACCCCGTTGCCTGAGGCGTCCGTTTGTCTCTGGGTGTATCTGACGTATCTGAGATACACCAACGACTTCATAACCATCTTTGCCAGAAGCCCTATCAACGATTTTGATTACTTCGTTGTGCTCGGAGGTTTGCTATTATGTTCTCGATGGCTGATAACTACGAGACTGAAGCAAATGTATCATTTAAATTCTTATTGTCTCCTAGAGTAAGGGGTAGGCCCTACCTCTTATCGAAGACATTTTCATCTTAGGATAAAACCTGTTGAATAACACAAGATTGAATATTGTTTGAATATTTTTTGGTATTGATGA